ATGTGGGATTCCAACCTCAGCTCCCACAGCGCCTCCTCTCTTATTACACACTTCTGTCCAAACGCTCAGACGGAGCGGTTGTTTCTATATCTCTTGTTATTTTTTAATTAAATTTGTTTGTTACAAAAAGCCGTAGTCATGCTTATGATTCATCTTATACCTAACGCCTACCTCCACATATATATAAACTAAAAACCATGAGGAAAACAGGTTTTTCCCAAGACTGTAAAAACCATGGTAAATATTGTGTCAACCCTGGTTGCAGGTAATATATAATATTTAGCATTGTTTTTGATTTATAGTACATCAAAACTATATACTTCACGTATCAGGCCGTATATTATATTGAAAAGAAATCTACATACATCAAGAAATAGCCACAACCTTAGATAAAAAACTTAAAATAATAGAACATAAAATCTTTTTAAATCAAGTGAAATTCTGAAATTAAATATCTTTGCTTTATAAATTTTAATTGTCATGTTTATAACATGAGTTTACTAAAAATATTTTTTTGTCAGTTCTTTTTATAAAGCATAAAATTTTCTTAACAATTTCTCACTTAACATAAATTAGTTTATTTTCTACTTAAATAAGTAATTAATTGTTTGTCAAATTTTAAAACTAACCTCTGTTTAGTAATTTAACTTCATTTTTTTGTACCTTTTTGTTTATTTTCATCAAAATTTTAATCGCATTTATTATCTGCTGTGCTATAATAATAATTAAAAAAAAGAACCAAGAAGCGAAATATTCCAAAAAGTAAAATATTCTACAAGTTGGAAAATGTAATAAAACGCATTAGTCCAATCTATTCGACAAGAAGAAAAAAGCAGTTTAATTTTAAAGAAGCCTTTTATTAGAAAATGAAAAGCGAAACCAAGAAGTGAAATATTCAACATAACATCGACTAAAATAGAAAGTAACTGAAAGTTTTACCCAAACTGGTTAGGGTAAAAGGGAACCAGGGTAGGTTAGCTCATCTTGCATCATCTCGCTTGGTAAGAATCAGAACGAAGACTATTTTTATTGTTTTTGCGGATAGAGGTAGCGCCATCTGTTGCTACGAATTAACTATCCATTACGCTTAATTTTATGGTAATTGCGTTCGACACCAAAAATTTTACTGCTACCAAGATAAAATAATTTCGCATTTATTTTATATTACGGAACAGTCAAAAATGCTTTATTAAAATTTTAAGTTCGAAATTTAATTAAGCTTAAAATTAAATTACAAACTTATTCAAAGAATTTACAAGAAACAGAAAGAAATATTAATATTTTTTTACGTTTGTGTGATTTATGTTGGACACCAACTGTCTAATCCATTTAATTTGATCTTTAATTTTATAAAATAGTCTCTTGATAGAATATTATGTGTTAACTACTTGATTTTACCAAATTTAATAATATTGAATTTAATTTAAATGTAATTGTTCTGAGAAATTTCAGTTTTTTATGTCTGACCCCATGGAATTGCCCTTGTTTAAAACTTCTTTTAATTTTTCAGTTCTGTGCCTATGTATATATATTTTCATATATATATACATATTTACTTTCTCGTTTAGTTTTTTATTTAGACAATTCTCTTCATAAATTAAAATTTAATATTATTTAGATTTCGTGCTGTCATAAGATTTAAAATAAATTTCTTTATTTAAGTAGAAAAAATAAATAAAATAAAGAAGCATCCAAATCATGAAGCAAAATATTTTCTTTCAAATAATATGAAAATTAAAGTAAAACCGAGTTGTAATTTTTTGTTATTTTTACAGATTTCAATTTTAGGGAAATGGTTTAGTTTTCCATGACAAATCCGCTTTACTGGTATATACTTGTGTGATGCATCAATATCTTTAGATATGTTGCTAAACTTGCATCATCATCATTCTACCTCAGTATTTTTAATTTTTTTTTTAAATTTATGCCTCATAATTTAGTCACATCTGTTATAAGTGCACTCTATAAATATTTAAGTCTGTTTTAATATTCTTGTCAACAAAAAATGAAATTTCTCTGTTGTCTACTCAACATATATTAATAAAAGTTGGGATGGATAGGAATTGAAGCTGCTTGAATCAAAAAGTAACTCCCTACTAAAAATGCTGATGTTTTTTGTTTAGTAAGAAAGATTTTTGCTATTTTTTTTTTTAAAGAGAAGTATAAGTTTTTTAATTGTTTAATTGAAATTCGTTATATTTAAGTTTCAAGATTTTAATAATTTTTAAAACTGTCCACTAATTAATGATGTTAACACTAAATTTATGATGAAATAGATTATTGAAATTTGAGTAAGGGTGTATTTTCTACTATAGTTACTACTTTATATTTAGTGTTAATTATAATAATAGAAGGGTCAGTGTGTGCTTGGATGTCACTTTCTTATAAATCCAGTTCTAGTTTATAACTTCTTTGGGCTAAGGTCCTAATGTTAAGACAGCAGATACAAGAGGCATATTTACCACCATGTCCTAAAAATTTCAATAACTTGATTCGAGAGGATCCTTTTGAAAAATAACGTTTTTATATAAGTTTTGCATTAAGTGCTGTGAACACTTTTTCTTTTTAATTATTTTAAAGATAATATAATTAATTTTGCTACCTTAAAGCTCTGTTTTATCCGAAATGGAGTTAATTGCACATTCTTTTATAATTAATTTTGATTCATAATGTCAAGTAGGCTCAAGTATCAACACGGAAGGGTTCTTATGATTAAATCACATAAATAAATGACGATCATTCAAAGGAAACTTAAAACTGAACATGGCGAAGGATACAAGACTATCACAGTTATCACACATATCAGCCAAATAAAAAAGCATGGAAGTATTTAAACTTGCATTCGATTTACATGTAGTCGATTCCAACTCTATTCGACAAAAATGGAACTGTTCGGGACTTCAGCAAGTCCAAAGAATTTTTTTTTCTGGATAATAGGTCTATAAGGTAAACATAACAGTTGTTATTCAATAAAAAAATAAACAGTTAATGATTAACATTATATTGTGTTCATCTTTGACGAGATATCCTCAAGGAAGAATCGTGACGACTTAAAACTATATTTATCCACATAAATGTACAAAATTACATGTTAGCTAATTGTTTACAGAAGAATAGCAGCAAACATCAATTAGTAAAGTCCTCATATACTGGATCGGGAGGCAGCTTCACTGTTCCGCAACGAAGGACTATCGTCATGGATTTGTTAGTGATGACGGAAAGTGGTGTCGGCTGGCATCTCAATAATTAAAGTAATACAACAAGGTTACCTTATCGACTAAAAAGAAAAATAGATAAAAGTGAGCAGATAATGATCCCATTTGATGTGAAGAGTTATCTGGGCCAATAATCTGATGAAAGTAACATTTAAAAATAACCTCATATTTCAAAAATAAATCAGTTCAATTAAGTAAAAAAATAAAAACAAGGAACAGAATTGATTAGATTTTGTTAATAAAAGCATTAAAGGAAAACAAAACTTGTCTTCTTGCACTCTTTTAAAATGCTATTGTACCAAGAAGAGTTTGTTTTGATTGAAGATGTATGAAACAGTTCTTCAAAAATTTATTAGCAGAAACTTCCATCAGCTATTTCTAGCACTCGATTACTGCTCAAAGCGTAATACAGCAAAACAATAATTCTAGATGATTCTCGCATAACTCCATAAATATTGTTCCTATCACTTTGAAACTCAGTTTCCAGAATATTCATTTTGTCACAGAAATGATCACTAAGTGTTGTCAAATCATCACGTATGCAAAAGTGTCGCCAAACAGAGTCCCCTATTAGAAATACATTAGGTGTTATTTTCTTCCAAAATTACGTTAGAATTCTGAGATTTTCTTATAAATTTTCTAATTAAATTATTTTTTTAGAGTTCATTTGAGATGTTAAGCCGCATAACAAAAGAATAATCACAAAATTATACACATATTTACAAATTTATAACATTATTAATATTCATAGTTAGTTCTTCTCATCCAAGTTTTTCTTCCCACTGCTTTCAGTAACTTTTAGATTGAAGCAGAATAAATTTTTAGGTATGGGAAAAGCAAGGAGAAGAAAAGAAATTTTTTTATTAATATCTTTTTTTAGCAAATTGCAAACGTTCAAATTTTGTTTTTGAAAATGGATTTTTTTTTTTAATTCTAAAAATGTTTCCGGTAAACGGATGTCTGTCCGTAAGTGGAACTTTGTACTATAATATGATTGTCTATTTTAAAAATAAATACAAATTCTAAACTTAACTATAAGGTAAAAAGGCACAATATGATGCTGCATTCAATGACCTCTGAACTGGTGATAGATCGTGCATATACCCAAACAGGTGTAAACTAGTATTATCCAATTGTAAACGAAACTATGCGATTGATAATGTCAATTGATGGAACATTACACTCTTTACCAAGGTTTCACCGTGGTATAAAAAATGCGCTTTTTTTCCCATTTTAGGTTTTTAAAATATCTCATCCAATTTCATGTTCATATTTTTCTGTAACCTGATTTTTTTTCCTTTGTATGACAGGCTGATATTTTCCCAAACTCTCAAACAATCCCTTGGCTAAATTTTATCTCGATTAAAATTGTACGCTTGTATTGAATGCAATCTCTTGCTTTTATCTTTTTAATTTTTAATTTGTTAAAATGTTTGCCACTGAATTTGTTTTTCATGAAATAATTGTTCTGTATTTGTTACGACCCTTCTCTAAGGAGGAATTAATATTTTACATTAATTTGCCGCATCTGCTTTTCCTTTTCTTAAAAAATCACTTGTCTTTTTGTGCCAATTATTTGAAGAAATCATATTTAATTGCAATATTATTATAATTTTTGTGTAAATAAATAAATAAAAAAATAATTGGTTAGCATTTTAGTGATAGAAATTTATTTTAAGCCAGTGGGAACAAACTTTTTATTAAAATCCAAATTTATTTCTGTAAACTAACTGATTTGTGTTTTTTTCAGATATTCTTGAAACTGACATGATATATCATTTTTAGGTTGGAATTTAGATGATTCACCACCTTTTAATATATATTTTATCTACATGGCTCAGTGTGGTTTTTACCTTCACTCCCTGTATGCTACAGTGTTTTTGGACACATGGAGGAAAGATTCTCTCGTAATGATGATTCATCATGTCTTGACACTGGCATTGATATCCTTCTCCTACTCTCTGAGGTGCTAATTTCTATTTTTTTTTTACAAAATTTTAAAATTCCCCCCAAAAATGGAAATTTTTACAAGCATACTTGCTTTACTAATGTCTGAGTTTAACCAAAAAAACACAATTTTTATTTATTTTTTTAATTGGGATTGCTTGAAAAGAAACTCCTTCCATGACCAAGTTGACATGATTTAAATTACTTGATGTTTTTTTAATAGAATGACAAATTTAAATCAGCTGATTTTCTTTATAAAAAAATTCATTAATTTAAAGCAAATTTTTTTTCTTTCTATCTGGAATACTTTGTAAATATATTTTTAAGGCTGTGGATATTTTAAAGTATGATTTCATTGACTAGGTTTTATGTGGAGCAGTAATGAGAAGATAATGAATATTATATATTGATTACTATAAACTAAAAAATGATGATAAAATATAAATGACTAAATATGGATTAAGATATGCAAATTTTTTAAATTATAACTTATATTAGCTGATGCAAAATAATTTACTACTAAATCAACATATATGCAACAATGATACTCAATTAGTTTTTTGTTTATTTAAATACAAATTTCTTTGAAGCTTTTAAACTTGTAGTTTGCATACATAATGAAGGACTTAATCTGTCACAATTAGTTTTGATTGTTATTTTTTTTTTTAAAGAAAGTTTCTTGATCTAAATTAATTTATTTTTAATTTGATATATAACTGACAAATTATAGCTTTATTTTTACAAATCCGTGAGTGTATTGAGCTTGAATAAAAAACATCTGTGATTTTATTTTTTTTGTGATTAGTTCATAACAGGGCTCTTACAAGTCAGTCAGAGCAGGGAAAACCTGGAATTTTCAAAGAATTTTATTTTGATTCTTAAAAACAGGGAATGGCTAGGGATAGTTGCATTTTTTTACACTAACCTGGAAAATTCCTATATGGAAAATAACCAGTCTTAGAATATTTAGTAACAATAATCAGTTATTTAAATTTGATTTGAATAATTCAAACATCTATTACTATTTTTTGTAAATACTCACATTTAATAAAGCTTTTCCATGTTTCCATCCTCATTTAATGATATTTTTTTGCTCACAAAATCTAATTTGGCATTATAAATATTACAATTAAAGTTTTCCAATCAAAAATTGCTTGGTATAGATAAAATATAGTCAGGATTTGCATTGAAATTTTCTTGAAATACCTGGAAAAGTCTGGGAATTTTTTTTTCTAAAATTAAGTGAGAACCTTGTGTATCATATTAAATTTATTATTAACATATTAGTTATATTAAGAAATATATAACAAATATGATGATTAGGGGCAAAAATTAAAGTATTCAATATCAGATTTGGTTGATAAACAATTATTGAAAGATTACTATTGATTAGTAGAATTAGCATTTATTTTGTGGATAATTTGCAATTTAATAGTAAAAGTTTAATCAATGAAAATTATATTTATCTAGCTATGGTTTTGTCAAAAATGAAAAATAATAATGAATAGGAAAATAATCATAAAATAATTGAAAAAATAATTGTCAGTATTGTGGGAAGAACAATTGCAACAGTGATCAATAATAACTAAAAAAATAAAAAAACAATATTCCGTCAGCTAAATCATCTAAAAGGGGGGAAAGAAAGCAACCTGTTTTCCATTAAGGCATCATGATGTGTAGTGTTTTTAAAAAGTTTTAAGGGTGCTTGTTTTTGATTTGTGTTTTTTAAAAGCCCTTAAAGGTGCTTTTGTCATTGCTGTTTTTTAAAAAGTGCTTAATTTTCCTTTTTCAAATGAGATTTTTTGCTTTACCATGTCGATTTTCGCCATGTATTATGCAAAAGCATGCTTTTCACATTGTTCTATTCAATGTTTTCACAATAAAAATATAGTTTCAATAAAAATATCAAATTTTTCTTCTTCAAGAAATCATGATTATCGGTCAACTGTGCTTTATGCTACATGGTTATGTAAAATTTCAAATATTAATTTTTAAAAGCAAAATGTGACAGTCGTTTAATTGTGTACTGCGACAAACTGCAATCCTTGCAAAATGTAACATAATGTCAAATTTTATGTGTGTCTTGGTGTATAAAATTTATTATTTATTTGCAGATACCACAATATTGGTACCTTAGTTCTTTTCACACATGATATTTGTGACATCTTTTTAGAATTCACGAAGCTTAATGTTTACTTCAAAATACAAGGAAACAGAATAATTAAAAAGCACGAACTGTTTGCAAACATTTCCTTCTTCTGCTTCACTGTTGCTTGGTGGGTATTCAGTCATTATTTTTTGCATATTCTTTTATACTGTTCTGTTAGTCTATCATCCAATTTTAATGCTTAATTAGAATGCCATTTTAAGAAGCAATTGCTCAAATGTCAATTTTTTGAAAATTACTCAAGAAACTTCCTCTCAGTTTTTCTTGAAAATTTTATTTTATTAGCAGTTTTTGATAAGTGATGCATCATTTATTAATGTTTAAAAGACTTATTTTGTTTCTGTTTAACATATTAAGAAATTTTTAATTTATGTTTTATGTCATATTTCTTGTTTCTTCTTGAAGTAGGACTTTTTGAGAGTGGTAAAAACAATAAATTTGCAGGTGAATTTTTTTTTTTTTTTTTTTTAAATTTCCTTCTATTTACATGGGTAGATCATTTCATGCACTTTTCCATTATTTTAAAATATTTTTATTGAAGAAAATTAAACAAATAAAAAAATTTAGTCACTGATTCACCGGACTCTGAGATATAACTAGTTTGTACCCATTTCCATTGGCACTTTTGCACGCGTCTATTATACTTTTTTTTTTTTAAGTGAAATTAAAAGAAAAATTACTATACAAAGGTTATGAGATGCTCACAATTATGATGAAATATTCTATTTTGTGACTAATCATATAACTGTAAATAAATAAAAAAAATAGCTTACCATTTCTTTACATCCATTGTCAGTCCCAGGGACCAGTAATAATTATTTTAAGGTAGCCTAAGTCAAATTTTAGTCATCCCGGATCATCATTAATTTTATGCCTAGCTTTTATTATTCACTAAGTAAATTGTTCAATTGTTGCTTTTTGCCTAATCTAAATTAGCCATTAGCTAAAATATTTAGGGCATTGGTTTAAATTTTAATGGATTTCAATGGATACCTCTCACAGATACATAATAAAAATCTGAAAATTTCCTTATATTTATTTTTGAAAAAAAAAAATAGTTTCCACTAGTTGCACGTGAGACATAAAAGGAACATGCATTTTCACCTTTCAATATATAGAAACTAAAAATTCTATGAATTATAACTGTGTAAGGACAGAAGTTGGAAACAAACACCATCACGAAGAGCTCAGCTTTAATTATACATTCACACATTCATTCTACAATAATGAGTAACAACATAAAATGTATTAAGATAGAAAGTATTTTAAAGTTGTACCCAAACTGATTGGGGAAAAAGGGAACCAGGATAGGTTTGGGTAGCTCATCTTGCGTCATCTCACTTAGTAAGTCGGAACAAAGACTATTGTTATTGTTTATGTGGATAGAGGGGTCGCGCCATCTGTTACTAGGAATTTGCTATCCGTTACTACAACTGTGTTTTTTTTTATGTTAGACAATAATACTTAAGTAATCTCTGAAAAAATTAAATAATTTTTTAATTTTTTGTTTGTGTAGGAAATATTCAAAGCTTTTATTGTGGTTGAGGCTTGGCCAACAAAAGAATGACAGATGCAAAGTAGTTTTTTTTATTTAACATATTAATGAATGATACGATAATAATATAAATTTTCTTTGCTTCTCACACTGCTTTTGGCTTTGTAATTGTATATTCCTCTTTGGCCATTACATTTTTCTTTTCTTTGTTTCTTCGTTTGCCTCCTTGTTATTTATCTCTTACTTTCTGTTTTGATAGATATTCAGCATAATTATGAGGGTTTTCTTTAATCTTTTTCCAATGATTTTGGGATTTTTCTCTGCTATTCATTCTTCTGCTAAAGAAAAAAAAAATGTATAAATTGCATAAATATAGACTTCTAAAAAAAAAAAAATAATAATAAATTTTTTTCTTATTTATTATTTAAAGTGATTCGAAATTTTTAATCTTTAAGTTAATTATCAGGGTTCTTACACGGTCAGGAAAACCTGCAGAACCTGCAAAAGTCAGGATATTCTAAAATTAAGCTAAAAAGTCAGGAAAATGTCAGGATTTTTCTTAAATATTCATAAAGTCAGGAAAAAGTCAGGATTTTTCTTTCATATTCATAAAGTTAGGAAAATTAAAAAATAACTATAGTTCATTCAAAGACTTGACAAGCAAAAATAAAATTTCAAGGAAAAATTCTGTAATTCAAAATATGTAATATCCTCATAATAACAATCCTCTTTCCCTGGTAGAACCTGTCCTGTTAGCAATTTTCCTCCTGTTTATCCAATGATAAGGAATTTTTGATAGNTCCCCTAAAAACCACGTGAATGTACTTTCATCTTGAGTAGAAGGTCAAATCTACATGTATCTGAAACCATATGGACATACAATGCCATCTTTTGGAAGAAATTTCATTTTTTAAAACGTTCCGAAACGCTGGCACAAATAAGTGACGGTCGGGGGTGAACGAGAAAACTCTCTGACACGCGGGTGTGTCGGCCGGGAAGTGAGCGCGTTTCTTGCTGTCACATATATGTGACAGTCGGCTCGAAAGGGTTAAGTTAATTATGTTACATTTTGTTTTATTTTAACTCTAAGCATCTAGAGTTTCAATTATTTTTTTTCCCTATTCCTTTTTATTTAATTGGAGTAAAAGAGAATAAAAGCTGTTGCTAACATATTTTTAAAAAAAAAAAATAATTAAAAAGCTAAGAATAGCAAAAAAGCTACTAAATATCAAATAATAAAATATTTTGCTAATTTATTTGCTTTGTTCGTTTCAATTTTAATAGAATTCATACCTTTTCATTTATTTTCTTAAAATCATATATTGTTATTGTTTACAAGAATATTTTTTGTCAAAGCAACTTATCAATGTAGACTGAATTAATAAACTGCACTCATGTTGAAATAATACTTATTTTGATTTATTAAGTGGGTTTTACACAACTTAATCAAAGGGTATAGTTACTGTTGCTATCTACATGTTTTCCAACACATTTTTGAATAAATTTGCTTGATAGTTCGTTTAGATTTAAACCGATGTTGTGGTTGTGACTTTAAATAAATATCACATCAGCAATATTTAATAACTATAATTGAAATATTAAATAATTCTTATTGTGTCTCAATACAAAATATCTTAATAAACTATTTTTAAATACAAAGTTTCACTCAAATAAATTTTTGTGTGGTGATATGAGGGCAAATCCATGATATGAAGCGCAATATAACAAAAAATAAACATATAATAGCATTCTTTGATTCTCAATTTTTTTAGTTTTTAAGTATTTTGTAATAGTAAAAAAGGCTAATATTTTTTTTGTAACTTCAGACACCAGAGCTTTTTTATATTTATAACTTTCTATCTGTCATTTCACATGCACAAAAAAAAATTTATTAATTCAGTCTACATTGATAAGTTGCTTTGACAAAAAATATATTCAGTCCGCAAAAAAAAAAGATATCACCCTGAATAACTTTCGTTCTAATGATCGGATTTTCACATACTAAGTGTCAATCTTAATGGTTCCTGGGGGTGACCTCAAATATGCTAATTAATTAGTGCTAACTATTAATTAAGTTACGAAATATAACTACTTTCAATAATACAATAACGTACTTTCTCTGAATAAACATGTTTATTTCTACATATTTGAAATCCTGACCCTTGAGGGGGAGTAGATAAAATTTTGAAAAAATTGGGTCGAAATAAAGATTTATATATTTGGCGATAGTCCAGAAAACAACCAAGAAAAGTAGCCACCGCAAATGAATATTTTAAGATTACCCATAGACTAATTCAAAAGAGGAAGACCGTAATTTCGCACGTATAGTCCGCAGGTCCAATTTTATAGTAGAAAAATTTCAAAAATCGTCAGATAGTCCGCGAACTATACGTCCGAATTATTTTAGAATCAAAGAACTAAGTATAAATAGAAAAAAAGTACTTACTAATATACCTTCTGAAATAAAACGCTAAATATAAATAAAAAACAGTGCTTACTAATTAATCATATTTTAATCAATCACACATTCTACTATATTAACGAAAACCTTCAAAGTCCGATTCATCAGTATCAGAATTAAACAGTTCTAATATATTTTCGGAGAGCGTGTCCAAAAGTTCATTTTCAGCGTCACTATCTTCACTGTCAGTGATTTCCTCGCTTTCACTAACAATCCCGGCTTTTATAAATCCCGATATGATGGTTGACGCTTTAACACTTTTCCAGGATTTATCGACCCATTCGGCAACTTCAGTGTATGAAGCGCGTCTCATTTTTCCTCCTTTTGTGAAAGTATGTAAACCTTCCGACATCCAGTTCTCCCAGCACTTGAAACTTTTGTTCACGCTAATATCCAGAGGTTGCAGGATTTTTGTTAAACCTCCTGAAATAACGCTAAGTTCAGCACCGATGTTTTTTTTTTTAGCTTCCGCCTTTACACTGTCTTTTATGTGTGTCCTCATTGAATCCATAATTAGTACTCCTTTGGAATTGAAAAAGGCACCTTCTCTCTTCTTCCAAACTTCTTGAAACCAATCGAGCATAATGTCCTCGTTGCACCAACCCTTTTCATTACATCGTATTACGGCGCTTCGAGGATAATTTTCCTTCGGAATTGTTTTTCTCTTAAAGATTAAGAGCGGCTTCAACTTTGTGCCGTCAGCACAGCAGGCGAGCATCACTGTGAAATGGGTCTTTTCCTGACCAGTTGTTGTTATGGATACTGTTTTCACTCCACAAGTATCGACATTGCGATTCGGTGGACAATCATATGTTAATGGAACTTCGTCCATATTTATAATATTTTTTAGGGAATACTTCCCTTCTGCAATAACTTTCCTTTTAAACTGAAGGAAAGAAACTTTTTTTCCATGTACGTCGTGCGGAACAGCCTTACACATTGTCGTTCTGCTGCGAACTCTCAAGTTTTTACGACGCATGAAGCGGTAAACCCAATTTATTCCTCCCTTGAAATCCGTTATTTGCATCTCATCTGCCATGGCCTTCGCTCGGAGACGGATTTTAACTGTTGAAATGGAGCGTCCGGCATTTCTTTGGTCGAGAACCCATCTTAGTAAGTTTTCCTCTAAAGCTGGCCATTTTACTTTTCCGTG